CGTACTACCGGTACATCGTCAACTGTCGCCTTGCCCTTCTCCCGGGCATCTAAAACATAGGCGACGTACCCCGCGCAACCCTGCTGAAAGTAGCGCCTCGCTCTCGCTGTTGAACACATAATCCGTCCGCACTGTGGCCTCTCGCCCTGAATCACTAACTCTCCCCCACTAGGAGTGCGAACCCTCACTAACTGCAAATCACAATCAATCACTGCCCCATTGGGGCTCAACCAGTCCATACCCACTATGACCTTATTCCCTCGCAGGGGAATAGGAACCAGATCTACTAAAAACTGCTCATCAAATAACCGCAGCGAACACCCCCTATGTACCCTTCCGACCCTGACGGTCCTGTCATCAGCTATCTCAACCTCAAGTGGACAGTCCAGCTCCCCCGGAGCTCTGCTAAACCGCTTGCTAAGCGCAAGCGAGAAAAACGATCGGGTGGCCCCCGAATCAAACAATATTGTAGCTGAAATGTCGTTCACTAAGAACGACCCTATATACAAACACACAACCATGAGAAATAATCAATACCAAAAACAGAGAAAAAAGAAATACATACCCGTCACCACATCAGGAGTCGCCTGCACCTCCTCTGCTGTCATCTGGAAAGCTCTACTCTTCGCCACTGGCGCCTCAGCCCAACCCTGACGGCCGTCTGTAATCCTCAAAGTAGCAGGGGCTAGTGCTGCCACCTTCCCTGCTACTGCTAAACTCGGGCACTGGGACTTTTTATGTCCCCTCTGATTGCAATGGAAGCAAATCAGATCAGCTGCTGTACAATCTCTACTCATATGCCCGGTCCGACCGCACTTGTAGCAGCCGGAGATCCCTGCCTTGCACGCCCCATCGTGCAATCTCCCACACTTGCCACACCTACTGTAGCTCTGCTGTCCTCTAGATCTGTGATCCGATACCTTGGGCTTTTTGCCCAAACTCCCTGTGCCAGATGCCGCCTCTGGTTTCCTCTTCTTCTCCATCTCCAAATCTATCTCTCTCTCACGAGCCCTCGCAATCATGCCATCCAGCGTTTTATAGTTGGACCGGCTCACAAACTGTCTGATATCACTCCTCAACATCTCATGATAATGAGCCTTCTTCATATCCTCATCAGCTGCATACTGAGGAACAAGAAGAGCCCTCTCCCTGAACTTGGCGGTAATCTCCGCCACAGTCTCAGTAGTCTGAGTAAGATCCTGAAACTCCCTCGCTAACTGCTACACCTCGATAACCAGTGCAAACTCAGCTCTGAACGTGGTAGTGAAATCGATCCAGGTCATCGCATCGAGAGCCGCGTCATCTCCCATGACATGTCTGATCTCCTCCCACCAATCTCGTGCCTTGTCCTTCAGGAGACAGGATGCTAGTCTGACCTTGTCCCCCTCGGGACATCTGCTGGTGTGGAATGCATTGGCGACATCCGCCAACCACCTGGTACTCGCAATGGGATCCCGCGTCCCATGGTAATCAGGAGCTCCACATGCTCTGAACTCCCTGAAAGTGAGGGTGCGCGACCCCATCATGGCCGCCACCTCAACACGGAATGTGCTCAACTTCTCATCCATCAGCTCCAAAATACCCTCCTTGATCGAACCGAAGATCACAGGAGTCTGCTTGAGTATGATGCGAGTAACCTCTGAGGAGAGAAACTCCCTAGTCTGCTCATCCAAATGTTCGGTCCCCGAGCCTGATCCCGATCCCTCACCGGCACCTGAACTGCCGACTGCTGGTCTAGGGCGTAAAACCACCATTCTGAAAACACATAATGACAATGTCAGGAATACATATATATCTCGAGGGATCGCTACTACTACAAGTTTCCTGGTCTCATCTCAGCCTTCCTTGATTCGAGTACTGATCCTCTGGTTTCAGTAGTACGGGCCCATACAACCTTCCACATCTATCCGTACTTTCCTCAAGAACTGCCTTGACTCCACCAAGTCCCTTCTACTACCACTGCTCTCTGCTACTCTCGTCCTAGGCTTGCCCTAGGGTAATCACCAACCCACTCTCTGCTATCAGCTACACAAGAAGTCCCGGCTACCTCCCCCCTAACTAGCTCGTGAATACTATTACATATCACTAAGACTAGATAATTCTCCGAATGAGAGATCCTACCCTACAACGGTTGGACTCAAACAAGAGTTGCGCAATAGAGCTAGACCTAACCTTCTGAAATTATTTAGTCCTCACCATATGTAACGTAACATATTCATTTACTAGTTAGTGAAAGATAACTAAGACTTCCTAAAAGCACAAAGCAAGCAGCATTCGAGCATCGAGTACTCATAATCAAGCATATACTACTCTGGCTATAATACTGACAATTCTGTACTAGCATGCAGTTTTCATAGAGCTGAAACACATATAACATGCACATAAGGCATCCTTCCTAGATCCTTAGTCCTAATCTAGCATGTTGTTCTAACAAAGTTGATAATCATAACATAGCATAAACTTGTATGGATAATTTGGGAGTACTTACTTGAGCTCGGCTGATTGCATGCACCACACCCTTTTTCTCTTTTCAGAGTTCTTTTCTTTCAAAAAAAAATTCTTTTTGCTTTTCTAAAACTCTTTTCTTTTCAAAACATTATACCACTTCCTTACTTTGAGTTCAGACACACTCGGAAGTGCGCCCGAATCCCTCAAACCAAGGCTCTGATACCAACTTGTAACATCCCAAAAATACAACCCAAAAATTTTTGTTTGAAAACTTTACTAAACCATAATATCAAATATTAAAAGTTAAAAACCATGAATCAAGTATCTCAAAATGTCATAATAAATTTATCAAATCGAAACTAGTGTCAAGATCATATCAAAATATCAGAGTCTAACTCCCAGGCAAAAACTGTGGGGTGTGTCATGCCATCATCTCGAGCCCTTACCTTTGCTAGTTGAAGTACCTGAAACCAAAACTGAAACTGTAAGCACGAAGCTTAGTGAGCTCCCCAAACTACCACATACCATACTATAACATATAAAGCACATACTGGGCCTTGCCCACTGCATCGGACCGAAGTCCGGAACTAACTAGGGCCTTGCCCACTGCATCGGACCGAAGTTCGGAACTGCATCAGACCGAAGTCCGGAACTGACTAAGGCCTTGCCCACTGCATCGGACCGAAGTCCGGAACTGACTGAACATAGCATAACATAATCATAGCATATAATATGAACGCATATACTGCATCGGACCATAGTCCGGAACACATAACACATACCATGCCTGTATCACAAAGACACCAAGCATACTGAACTACTGCATCAGACTGTAATCCGGATCTACTGCTAACTAAACGGGCCGGCATTGTGGTCGTAGACCCGTTCCTACTGGAAGGAAAACTCACCTCAAAAGGCTGGCTGCTGAAATGCTGCTCGGGAATTGTCTAACTGCTGCTCCGGTAACTCCCCGGCTACAATTCCCAAAAGACACTTAATCAGACACTGATAACTAATCTTAGGGTAAAATGACTATTTTACCCCTGGTCAAAGTCAACAATCCGTTGACCTAACTCGCCGAGTTGGGCCGCCAACTCGTCGAGTCCCTATCTTTCCTTCTACTCCCTTTCCCGACTCTACTCGTCGAGTTTAGCGAAGACTCGACGAGTTCTCCTTCTATAATAACATCGAGTCAACCTTTATCTGACTCGTCGAGTTGTATGAACAACTCGTCGAGTCCTCCTTCATCATATGAACACGTCCAGTCTATGACTCGTCGAGTTGTATGAACAACTCATCGAGTCTGTTCTTGTGGGAAGAAGATTGTCTTGGACTCGCCGAGTCAGGGCGTAGACTCGCCGAGTCCCTCTACACTCATAACCATGTCTTAACTCACTTAGTCTTTACTCCACTCGCTAAACAGACTCGCCTCTACTGAACAGGGAATCTAAGACTCGCACCCTGACTCGCCGAGTCCTTTGCATGCAGATTCTATTCAGTCGATTCTAATCAGTTTCAGTGCATCCAATTCATAGATCTAGGTTTCTGGGACAATTTGAACATGTAAAGTTGCTAACTTTACGTGTATCTATGATGCAATGAAGCAATAACACTTAAACTTGGCTATAATGGGGGTTACTTGTCTAGAACAAGGCCATGGCTGCCAAAAGGTGGCCTTCTTGAGCTCCTGGAACTCAAGAGAGGCTAGATCTGAGATATGGCTTGATTACAAAGCTTCATCACTAGGGATTTGGAGTTTTTGAGCTCAAAACCATCAATTTGGGGACAAACTAGATCTAGCAATACAATAACCAAGATGAAAGCTTTATTACCAGAAAGGATGGCCAAAGAGGAGTATAATCTGGATCTACTTCTTCTTCCTTGAGTTCTTCTACCTTCTCCTTCTTCTTCTTGCTCAACAATGCACCAAGAATCCTTCACAAGGGCAAAAAAATCACTCACACACACTTCAAGGAGGCTAGGGTTTCGGGAATAAGTCTCTGAGAGGTGAAGGAGGCTGGTTAGGGGCTATAATGGGGTTTAAATAGGGTACACTCCCTAAAAATTAGGGCTTCGTCCAGACTGGAGGACTCGCCCAGTCGCCACGCCAACTCCACGTACTGACCCGCTTCTACTAGACGAGTTAGGGCCACTGACTCGTCGAGTAGCTTCTAAAATAAGAAGAAAAATAATGTTTTAAATGCATACCAGGAACAGGGCGTTACATTTAACATCGTCATTATCTTCATCATCATCATCATCATCTTCGTCATCTTCATCATCATCATCATCATCATCATTATTTTTGTTGTCTTCTTGAGCAATTTGATCTTCATCATTAAAAAATTCATCGAGCATACTTTTCAAATGATTCAATCTTACACTTGTTGGGAAGTTATTGATTCCATTTTCAATCAACAAATTGATTTTCCTAATCTTCATCAAAATCATTTGTTCATAGTCCTAAATCAGAATTAATTTGAAGTTTATATTAGCAATATATATCATTAAACATTATAACTGTTAAATAATGAGATTTTTTTGTATAACTGCTATAAATATTTACCTCCTCTTCCAACATCTTCAAAATCTTCATTTAAATCTCCTGTACCAAATTGCTTGACGATTTCTTTTTCATAAATTTCTCTAAGCTTCATTTTTTCTGATGTCCAGTGACAGATAACTGGACGTTTTCTTTCAGCAATAACTACACTGCAATGGACTCTATCTACATAAAGCAACTGGAAAAAAAGAAATATTTGTTATTATAATCACATGTGATTAACCTATTATGTATTTATAATCATATGTGATTTAAAACATTTTACTGTTAAACCACATATGATTATAAATGTTATTAAACAAAAGAGATGTTATAAAGCATACCACTAAATGGTCCAACAAAATTGCTTGTTGGATTGGATGAATCAAAAGATTGTTTTGTTTTAACCAAACAATTAAGCAAGTAGGAGCACCAGTCAATGTTGCTTATGTTTGTATTCTTCATGATGTAGTTTAAGGGATATGTGTTTGCTTTTCCGCATGAGCTTGATTCTATAAGAGAGTTGATCAACAAAGCAATGAAGTTCATCTGGAAGTTCATATCTGCATTGTCCGAGGCGACAAGGTTCACTTTAATTTCATGCAATCTGATCATTTTTTTGTTTTGAAATTGTTCAGTCCATTCATCATAACATTTATCATTTTCTTTTCAAAATGGAAGTTTTGAAAACTATTTTTTTCCCAAAGGAAATCCTAGCATTTGATTCACTGATTCTCTTGTCACATCAATCTCAACCCCCTCCCGAAGAACAATTTTCATTTTTGTCGGATCAAATTTATCTACAACATAACAGCTTAATGTCCCTGGCACTTCAGTCATTTTCATTTTCAATAGATCAAGAAAATCCCATTTGTTTTACACAATCTTTTTGGATTGTATTGAAAGCTATACCTATTTCTAATTGTATCAAAATGCTTATTTAAAGTCTTCTTCTTTCTTTTTTTAGTCTCTTTTGTTTCAGAAACTGAATCTTCAGCTTTTCTTTTCTTTTTTGATTCGTTTTTCTTCTCTGGTCCTATAAAAGATGTTAATGAAGTCATAATAAGTAAATAAAAAATGATTATACAAATAGTTAATAAATAAGCATATATTTTTCAATCTCTATTTTAATCACATGTCATTGAAGGAATATTGTTTTTAAATAATGTGTATAACTTATAGATATAAATCACATATGATTGAAACAAGTCATGATAAATAAAGCATACAATATTTATAATAAAACATATTCCTTTATGATTGGATTTGCTTGTGTGTATCAGAGATTCTAATCACAATGTCAGTTAATCAGATTTTAGGATGTTTATGTATATAATCATTTGTTAATCACATGTTATTAACAATCCTAAAATATTGTTTAATCACATGTGATTAGCATCTTTAATACAAACATACAAATCCAATCACAAGTGAGTATCATAGGTCTTTTATGAATTGTTTTGGATTATTGATATATATTAATATATATAATCATTTGTGATTGAAATATACCTTTTTCAGATGTCTTTCTTGGTGATTTTCTTGGTTGTTTCCCTTTAGGCACTTCTATGTTTTGTTCTGAAATTATATAAATTCAAATAGAATTAGAAAACCATATATGATTAAAACAAAAGCATAAGGTTTTCATAACAGATTTTAATCCCATGTGATTGAATCTGTTTTGTGTATTTAATAAAAATCACATATGATTGAAAGCATGTTTATGTATATAATCATATGTTAATCACATGTTATTAACAATCCTAAAATATTGTTTAATCACATGTGATTAGAATCTCCAATACAAACATACAAATCCAATCACAAGTGAGTATCATATGTCTTTTATGAATTGTTTTGGATTACTGATATATATTAATATATATAATCATTTGTGATTGAAATATACCTTTTTCAGCTGTCTTTCTTGGTGATTTTCTTGGTTGTTTCTCTTTAGGCACTTCTATGTTTTTTTCTGAAATTATATAAATTCAAATAGAATTAGAAAAACCATATATGATTAAAACAAAAGCATAAGGTTTTCATAACAGATTTTAATCCCATGTGATTGAATCTGTTTTGTGTATTTAATAAAAATCACATATGATTGAAAGCATGTTTATGTATATAATCATATGTTAATCACATGTTATTAACAATCCTAAAATACTGTTTAATCACATGTGATTAGAATCTCTAATACAAACATACAAATCCAATCACCAGTGAGTATCATATGTCTTTTATGAATTGTTTTGGATTACTGATATATATTAATATATATTTATAATCATTTGTGATTGAAATATACCTTTTCAGCTGTCTTTCTTGGTGATTTTCTTGGTTGTTTCTCTTTAGGCACTTCTATGTTTTGTTCTGAAATTATATAAATTCAAATATAATTAGAAAACCATATATGATTAAAACAAAAGCATAAGGTGTTCATAACAGATTTTAATTCCATGTGATTGAATCTGTTTTGTGTATTTAATAAAAATCACATATGATTGAAAGCATGTTTATGTATATAATTATATGTTAATCACATGTTATTAACAATCCTAAAATATTGTTTAATCACATATGATTAGAATCTCTAATACAAACATACAAATCCAATCACAAGTGAGTATCATATGTCTTTTCTGAATCGTTTTGGATTATTGATATATATTAATATATATAATCACATGTGTAGGCTTTTCTTTGTTTTTTTCTGAAAAAAAATACATATATAATTAGAAAATCATATTTGATTATACACATAAAATATATGAATCAGAACTGATTATTGAATAATTTAATTGTTACCATTTTGAGTTTGTCTTCTTGCTGTTGCTTTTGTAAATTTTTGAGTAGTCGTTTCTTTATGTTTTGGCTGCTCTTTATTGGTTTCTGAGATATACAAATAGATGTATTATAAGAAAATCATATATGATTATTAAAAGTCATGAAAAATAAATAATATATTGTTTATATAGATTGTGATCACATGTGATTCAATCTTTGTTCTATGTATAAATATAATCACATGTGATTCAATCATTTTCGAGATTATAACATCAACAAATCATATATGATTGCAAACGTTCATTATAAGTAAGACTTCATCAGCAAATCATATATGATTGAACATAGTCATATGATTTATCACCTTCATTTCTGTTTTTTGGATCTATCATCTTTGTGGAATGTTTTTTCTCAAACGTTTACACAAACCAACTTTATTTACACAATAAATGAATAACAGAACACTAAATCAATAAATTAAACGTTAATACTAGTAAAACTGAGTGTTATTTAAGAGAAAACTATAGTAAATTGTTCGACATCGAAACTAGGGTTTGATTTCAAAATTTTTTTTTTTTTTTGAATAATGCCGATTTCCTGTATATTGATGAAACTAACAGTAGGAAAACTCGAAAATCAAGTGATATTCATCAAAAAAAAAAGTTGATAATCATGAAATCGAGTGATATTTAGCAAAAAAACGTCAAATATGCGTTGTGATACCTTTCGATGAAGCTTTTGATGGCGTTTTCCCTGTTTTTGACGACATTTTCTTCGTTTTCGTTGAAAATATTTGAAAATTGATGAAATGTTGGAGAGAAGCGAGGGTTTTCTGTTGAGAGAAAATGAGAGTTTTGTTTTCGTAAATCGAGTTTCCCAACAATGTATGTTTGGAAACAGTTTATATTCCTTTTAATGATTATAGCCCCTTATTTTTTAAACGTGATATATTGGAACCAATTGTTAAGTTATTTACAATTATGTCACCTTGAAAAATTAAAATGTAACTTTTGTTCTCAAATGTTCTCGGGAAAAATGTTCTCGATTGAACGCTTATATATATATATATATATATATATATATATATATATATATATATATATATATATATATATATATATATATATATATATATATATAAACTAAAAAAATTTAGAGCCGTCTTCTTAAAATTTGTAGTTAGATATCAATATATATATTTTTAGAACATAAAAATGATAAATTTTGACATTTTTAATAATAAAAACATGAAAAATGACTACTGAGAAATTTTGACATTTTTTATTATATTAGAGTACAAAAATGAAGAATTAATGTAGTCAAATTTAATAGTTTTTGGTGATTATATTATAAATTTGAATTAACAATATATGTTATCCATTTCAACAAAGGTTGCAAACAAATCAATAATTATCGGTGATTATTAGATATATTTGGTTTAACAAACTTTTCCTAGATAACTAATCACAATTATATGAAACTTGCACTATTTTATATAGCCAAATTGAAAATTATACGTTCACATACGTAAACATTCATGATATTTCATGATCTCAGAATCAAACAGCATGCATAAAAATCTATAATAGCACACTATATATATAATAACACCTCCATCAATACGAATATTATATATATTATACTAAACCACATAACACCAACATGCACCACTTATTGTGTACGTTAATACTTAATATATCCATATTTGCCCTATATACGTTCAAAGAGCAGAATACGATAAAACAACCTAGATAATAATACGACAAAACAACCTAGATCATAATAATACCTATAATACCAACATATATCATATAACAAACCCTAGCTTCAATCCCTTCAACACTTCCTAGTACGTACTCCACAACATCCATGAACAAGTGGTGACGTGGCACAACAAACATCTTCATCATTGATGACCTGGCACTTTCGGCCTACTGCTTCTAGCCAATGCAAGAACCCTCTTTCCGTGTGGATGACTGTGTAAAGACGCATACTCTTTCTGAATTTTATTAATCATCGTCTCCAAAATGCCATCCTTCATTATATATATAATCAAGAGTAAATTAGAAATTTTGTGTGTTGTGCTTCACTCAAAATCACTTCACTTCAACATTTAAAATTGTTTCAACGTTAGTTCTTAAATTTGTATTTCAATGACATGGTTCATGTGATTTATTCAAAATCACAAGTTCAGTATAACATATGATAGTCATTAGGGATCATATCCACATCAAAATATAAACTTAAAGAACAACATTGGGACAATATGAAATTTCGGACTAAACTTGCAATTTTTTGGAATTTGGCCAATTAATTTATCTCATGAAGTATAAAGTTTCGAAATTAAATCTTTAAAGACAAAACTAACCTTGGCAGTGTGTAAAGCCGATTGTGCAACATAGTTCCCAAATGGATGTGTAATCAACGACAAAAAGTTATGACTGTTTATAAACTCCCTATTGATAGCAATCACCACATCATCAGAAGCATCCTTCAAAAACTTCTCAACTACATTACTCGCAAACTTGTTCATCCCCAATGACACAAAGTTACCAGAAAGCCTCCTTAAAATTTCACCCGTTGCTTCTGGTATTTGCATGCCTAGTATATGTTGCACTACATAATTCCTGAAAATTTATAGTAATATATAATATTTATATATAAACAATTACAATAAAGTATTAACAAGATCGAATATACACAAAAAGAAAAAAGAGAGAGTAAAACAAATTACCCATAAGGATGTTCGGATAGATGAAGTGAATTCTCTATAATTGGAGAAATGAGACGGTCTTTAGTTACTCCAACCGCAAGTGATACACATTGTTGTAACACGCAACATCCACTTTTATCGGTAGCAATGTCGATACAGTTATCAGCTACCACATCCAGAATTGGCTACATGCAATGAAATAAGGTTTACTGTTTTTACAAGTATAGACAATATACTTTATTTTATACTCAAAATACGAATATTTTACATATATTTACTTACAATTGAAATCATAATTGTATTATTTACTCAAACTAACAATAAGTAACCATAATGGCAACCTATATACTTCCAATTTTTTTACATTTTTTTTTAAAGATAACAACAATATATATGTACTTACAATTCCTTGCTCATAATACCAAGGTACTAACATTTTTTACTATAGCAGAATGCATGTAGATAAAAATAATGTACCTTGCTATTATCTATACAGAAAAGTATAAGGTACAATGCCATAATAGCAACGTCTACACTTGATAACAACATATATACTCGTGTATTTTACCCATAAAATATAAACCATAATGGCAAATTGAGTACTTTTTTTTTTATAATAGTAACTTCAATTTTCTTTTTCTTTTTTTACTAAATTATGTCAAACAGTTGCTATTATGATTAAAAATATGGTGTACATGGTAAACTACATTGCTATATTCCCTGAAATTTGACCTAAAAATAATTGCAAAAAGTAAATAATTAATCATATATGTGATATATATACCTGACATTCATTAACATGGAACAATTTCAAGCAATTTTGAATGACATGATGGCCATTGGTGTTCTTAGACAAAGTGACAGTGATCCTTTTAAGTGCTGAAACTATTAAAGATCGCTGTTCTAAAGTGGTAAGAAGTTCAATCAATTTCTGCATAGCTCGAGTCCTGAAATTAATGAAAACCAATTAATATAATAAATTTTATAAAAAAAACTGATAATTAATCAAATTAATAAATTAATATATACCCATGAGAATTGAGGCAGATAGAAGTGAGATTTCCATTATCACTGATAAGAGTAACAACAATGTGAGTCAATTGTCTCTCGTTGATCGCTTTGAAAAGCTTCTGAGCAAGATAATTCATGGAAGCATCCACCATTAATTCACGAATATGATCTTTAATTTCATTAAAAATCATCTCAATTTCTTCGGGCTTTCCTTCTTCACATTTATTCTGCAAGAACTGACACCCTTCTTGATCTTTAGCCACCAAATATATCAACCCTCTCATATCCTTCAAACTCGCCGGAAACCTAGGTCGCCGACTTTCTTGTTGCCGGGAAAAAGGGTTGTTGTTATTAGGGTTTTGTAACTCGTAAGCGCTAATCCAATCTCTAGAGCGATTAGTGTTTTCAACCACCAAGCTTTGATTCTGATCTCTCCGGTGGGGATTACAGCAGATATCGTTGCAGCCGGTGTTTTTCCGGGTTACTGGAGCTCGCAGTTGAGTATAGACGAAGGAGTTGTTTCTGATATCAGAGGCCGGAAGGGTTGAAGGAGACGGCAAGTACGGCGGTATCTGGTGGTGGTTTGGTGACGATATATTAAATCGGCTGAAATCGATTTCAAGATTCCGGTCGTATTGGGTTTCTGGGAAACCACTAAGCGGTGATCGGTAACCATAGCTTTGAAATCCGGGAATGATATCACCGGCGCAGTACAACTGATCGCAACTGTTGCAGGAGTGATCGTATTCGTAGGGATTGTACTCAATAAAATCAGGCAACAACGGCGGATACCGATCACGATGGTTCAAAATCGAACGGACTGGATTGACTCCCATCGCCGCCGGCAGCTGTTGATGTTGTTGTTGTTTGTTTTGGAAAGAGAGAACGCCGTGATCAACAAGAAACCCATCGTTGTGGTTTACAGGCCGCATGGAAGAAGTAGAGCCCATAGCGGATGATCCGGATCCGCCGTTCACGGTGGCGGGTGACGGCTGAAAGGAATTTGTAGGGTTTTGACTGATGAACAACCAGTCAAACTCTTCGTCTCTTTTTGATCTTGAGCCGTTCTCCATTTGTAACTGAAAACGGAAGAGAATCAAAGGAAAGGGTTTATGAAAGGGAATAAAATTAAACGAGATATCATTAAAGCGAAAAGATTGTGGTGTGGGTTAAGGGTATATATAGCCTCATGCATGCAAAATATTCTAAATTTTGAAATAAATAAGTAATTAATTTAAACTTTCTTAACATATATCTCATTGAATGTTATATTTTAAGTTAAATTTAAATACATACCATGTATATCGGTTATTTAATAACAAATATTTTTTTCCCATTGGACGAAAATGCCCTATGGAGATACACATATACATGTACGGAAGATTTCCATATAATAACTAATTGCAATCTGTATTTAAATTGAATTCAAACTTTTACGTGTTGTTAAATATTAAATATTATCTAATTAAATTCTAGATACACGAATCATGGAGATGGAGATAATCACATTGAGCATATAATAATAATAAACAAATACTTATGTAATTGTAATACCAACTCATTTCAATTTTCTTTAGTTAATTGATTGTAGATATTAGTAGTGTTCAAACCTCATATTATAAATTTAGGTCCCAAAAATATCGGATATTAGATTTTGAGTAAATTACATGCATGTTTGGTTTCCGAATTTGTACCTAATATAATACCTTTAGTCCAAAGGTTTTGTTTGTTGCAAAGATGGTCCTTAATCGAAGTTATATTATCAATGTTTGATCCTTCCCTCTTTACTCCATTTGCCATATGTCTGTTCAAGTCGCATGAGGGTATTTACGTAATTTTTCCTTATATATGTCTTAATATGATTTACTTATTCACCTAAAAGAAAGGGTTAATTTCAAGTATCATCCCCAAGGTTTGTGATTAAACATTATAGATTCTAGAAAAAAATACCATGGTTACTTGAGATCATGTTATTTGAACTTCAAAATGTGTGATTTTGTCAATGGCGTTGCCAATGTGGAACATTAGAGTTGGTGGTAATGAATTAAACTTACATTAGAGTAGATAAATTTTAGGTACCAAAAATATCGGATATTAGATTTAGAGTAAATTACATGCATGTTTGGTTTCCGAATTTGTACCTAATATAATACCTTTAGTCCAAAGGTTTTGTTTGTTGCAAAGATGGTCCTTAATCGAAGTTATATTATCAATCTTTGATCATTCCCTCTTTACTCCATTTGCCATATGTCTGTTCAAGTCGCATGAGGGTATTTACGTTATTTTTCCTTATATATGTCTTAATATAATTTACTTATTCACCCAAAAGAAAGGGTTAATTTCAAGTATCATCCCCCAAGGTTTGTGATTAAACATTATAGATATTCTTGAAAAAAAATACCATGGTTACTTGAGATCATGTTATTTGAACTTCAAAATGTGTGATTTTGTCATTGGCGTTGCCAATGTGGAACATTAGAGTTGGTGGTAATGAATTAAACTTACATTAGAGTAGATAACATTTATGGGTATCTTGGGAAAAACTTATTTGAGCTCGGTCGATTGCATGCATCACACCCCTTGCCTTTTATAAAAATCGTTAGTTTTAAAAGAAATATTTTTCTTATAAAAACCTACCAAACCCTCGATTTGAGTTCAGACACACCCGAGAGTATGTCTGAATCTCTCAAACCAAAGCTCTGATACCAACTTGTAACATCCCAAAAATACGATCCAAAATTTTTATTATTTTTAAAGTTACTAATCTCATATCCCGGAACATCATCAATTTCAAAAACAATGTAAACATACTATGATCATAGTATGTAATCAAAACAAAACATACAAAAATATTATCAGTGCATAAGTTAACGAATTAAACTTGCAACCGATGTATGGTAAATTGAATATGGGTTCTGATAATGAGTGTTTTTAGTTTTGTATTATTGCTTGAGTTGAGATTGTTTGTTTGAGTTTATCTACTAAACAGATGGTAAACCAAGAATGTTCACAATTAAGATGCATCATCGGGTAAGTTTCTCCAAATCTCAAACAATAAGCTATAGATGTGGATACGTTGACTTTGTAAATTTTGTTGATATTGGTGCCTTCTTAGTAAATGATTTAGATCTCATAATGGAAAAGTTAGGACCCAATGATAATGTCCTTCTATAATCTATATTGTCACTTCTTAATACCATGAAAATATTTGGATTATGGCATAATGGCATTATATAGTAAGGACAATGTTTCACCTTAATTAACCTTAAAATTGACCATCAATGTTGGTTGGTTGTAAGTTCATGTATAAGTTTTTCCCTTTTAAAGTGAAAACATATAAAATATAAAATACTATATAAATAAATAAATAAAATATATGTTAAATATCAAGAGTCTTATATATGATGAGGCTGTTTCATAAGAGTAAGTATTTTTAACCTAAAAAGGTACAAAAAATAAAATATGGGACTAGAATTGTCAATTATTTAAACTTGTATGTTTAGAGTTGACCTAGTCGATGATCATTTAGTCGATAAAAGATGATTATGGGGATTTTATGATAAATATGGAAGTTTGATTAAAAAGTTACCTGAAATAGTAATAAATTCTTGAACTAAAATGACGTAGGGGACTAGTTTTGCCATGAATTGAAAAAAAAATCTAGTAGGGGTTCTCTCCATTTGGGGAGAAAAGCATGATTCGGAGAAGAGGAAATCTCCTATGGATGAACTCTCACGCTTCCATGGAGATTTAGAGCAAACTTGATGAATAAGAAGAAGCTAGAGTTTGAAGTTGGGCGCTTAACATCAAGGAGGTATAATCTCTTCCATTTTCCTCTTAAAATGGAGTTAGATTTGGTATAAGAATCAAATACAAATTTTAAAAGTATAATAGTTTTGTATTATAACACCCTGTTTCAGATCGTTTCCATTTCGGGGTGGTGATCAAGGATTAGATATTAGCAGGATTAGGACCCTTGAAGAAGTTAGTTTTGGGCTCTTTTGGAGGTGGATGATCCGGGTATTCGGTTTGCGTTTTGGAGTTAAAGGGTATTTCGGTAATTTGTCAGCTCAAGCTTTTATGGAAATTGAATGATGTTCGGGAAATGCTGAGGCAAGTATAAGTTGATTAAAGTGTAGAGCTTCTTGTTACCTTTTCATGGATATAAGGATCGTCGGAATCGGGTTTGTAACAAAGAAGTTATGACCTTCGGAGTATATTAGGGTTAAAGGGTTAAGCAGTACACGGGGTGTACATATATGTACGCGTGGCGTACTAGTTCTAAAGCCGTTATGTAGGGCGTATAATGGTGTACATAGGGCGTACAGATGCGAAGCAGGATCGCGCTTTCGGGCACGTACGCGGGGCATACAATGGTCTACGCAGGGCGTACGTACATTTTAATGAAAACCCTAATTTCGATGATGTACCCTATATAATCTCATTAAGTCTTTTTGGTTGGTCCTTATACCATACTCCAAGTTCCCAAAACCCTAGAAATCATCTCTAAGCCTCCATGGTTGTGATTTTGAGCTCATGATGTGCATTTTAGTGTTTTTGGGTCATTTCCAAGAAGACGAAGTTGGATGCAAGGTTGTGAATCAAGGATGAGCTAATACATCTGGATTATGTGCTTCATTTTCATCTTGTTTGAGGTAAAAAGCTTGAACCTTGTTCATTGTTGGCTTAGTTCTAGCATGTATGAGTTTTTGGTTCTTTTTGGTTCCATAGATGAGATCTTGTGGATTATTATCATTTTTGAAGCTTAGAGTTGCCACTCTTGGTGTTATTTTGGTCCTAGAGTCATAAAGTTGCCATCTTTGAGGTCTAGATCCATTCATGCATGAGTTAGGGCCATTTTCATGGAAGTAGAATGTTATATTTTGAGTTGGGTTCATTTGGGGCATGCAAAGTCACCAAGTCAGTGACTTTATGGGTCTAGACATAGATTAAGACTCAGATCTGTGGTTTGGACCTTTGGGCTAAGCCTTAAGTGCTTAATGGCAAAAGTTGGCTTAATAGAGGAGTGTGCGCAGCGTACAAGCCATCAAGCATGTACGCGCAGCGTAACGCTGAGTATGCCCTGTGTACTCAGTCGGAGTGGGGCTTCGCACCTTTGGGCCTCGGTTTGGGCCATTTCTTGGACCCAGTTGCTTTGGGCCTTCGTGGGCCATCTGAAAACATGCTTTTGGACTAAGTAAATTATTGGGCTTAAGGGTAAGGCCCATTGGATGGGTTTAGGAGCAATTTGGAAAATTGGACCATATGTGGGCCACAAGTGGGCCATGGAAGATTAGTTATTGTTGGTCTTTTATATTGTGGATTTAGGCCTTAGTCTTGGATCAAATTGGGCCAGGGGTAAAATGGTTATTTTAACCCAAGTATGGAGTATTGGATATTGATTGGGTTTTATTTTGTATTGATAGCTCAGGGAGTCGTCAGGGCAACAGCTAAGGATTTCTTTCTGTGAGATTCAGCATTTGAGGTGAGTTTCCTCACTGGGTTTAGCAGGTCGAAGGCACCAATGTCGTCCCATGGTTTTGTGTTAGGATGTTAGATGTATGTTCGAATCTTGCGTGCGTTATATGTGTTGGATTAGGTGTCTAAGCTCATAACTATAATTGGTATGTACTTGACCCGAGAGTAGCATGGTCCATTTGGGTTGCCTTCACCAGAACAATCTGATAGGATGGATATTTGAGAAAGAGGTTATTTATGATTTATTAATATATTATAAGTTCTAATATATTAATATGAAATCATATGATTTAATTAGTATTGATCAAGAATTCATTTGGAATTAATTTAGTGATCAAAAGAGACTAATTAAATTAACGGTGACTGATTATGTAAATCAGCAATATATATATATATATATATATTATATATATATATAATATATATATATTATATATATATATATATATATTGTTTGGGATATGATCCATGATGGGTTAAGTTTATGTAAGTATCCATGAAGAGTTAGCCCACATGAAATATGGATCATAACCCAAGTGTATGGATAAGGGTTTACCCATGACTCTTGGATTCCTACACTACATATGTAACCTCT